GCAGTAATGTGGATATTAAACAAAGAGTTATTATAGAAATGAAAAAAAAAGAAAAGAAATGAAATAACGAATAATCTTAATTTGATATCATTTGTATGACATGACATTTGGGAGTATTATTTAGAAATAAAAAATAAATCAGTGTTTAGGTATTGTTTTTCTATTGATGTAACGATCATAAAAATTAAAAAAGAGAATTGATAAATATAAATATTCGTTAAATATACATGTTTCTAAAATATTCTTCCTGGAAAACTGCTATTTTCTAGCCAACATTTAAAAATAAATAAATCAGTGTTTAGGTATTCTTTATCTATTGATTTAACGGTCACAAAAATTAAAAAAGAGAATTGAGAAATATGAATATTGGTTAAATGTACATATTTCTAAAATATTCTTCCTGGAAAACTGCTATTTTCTAGCCAACATTTAAAAATAAATAAATCAGTGTTTAGGTATTCTTTATCTATTGATTTAACGATCATAAAAATTAAAAAAGAGAATTGATAAATATGAATATTGGTTAAATGTACATATTTCTAAAATATTCTTCCTGGAAAACTGCTATTTTCTAGCCAACATTTAAAAATAAATAAATCAGTGTTTAGGTATTCTTTATCTATTGATTTAACGGTCACAAAAATTAAAAAAGAGAATTGAGAAATATGAATATTGGTTAAATGTACATATTTCTAAAATATTCTTCCTGGAAAACTGCTATTTTCTAGCCAACATTTAAAAATAAATAAATCAGTGTTTAGGTATTCTTTATCTATTGATTTAACGGTCACAAAAATTAAAAAAGAGAATTGAGAAATATGAATATTGGTTAAATGTACATATTTCTAAAATATTCTTCCTGGAAAACTGCTATTTTCTAGCCAACATTTTTTTTAACTTATGAAAAGACAAATATTTTGAACTTGTAAGTCTATAAATATGTATGTGCTTTTTTCAGAGATTGGATCATCTAATAAAGATATGTAAATGATTTCAGCATTTTATTTTTATTAAAATAAGCAAGAGAAAGGCAACAATCCCCATTTCTAGCCGTCTTTTACTATTGCAAAATTTGTCACACATCCACGCCATCGCAATTGTAGTTTAGAACAACTTTGCTGGTACTACGCAAGCAACAAATGGTATTGAATAGAACATTTATAAGGAACGGCCATTTGCTACGCTCTACTGTCGCAGCGCGAAAAGAAAAAGTGTCACAATAGAAACCTTGAAATTCTCGGCCATTTTCATCGGGCATTACTTTCTTCTGTGTCCGTTTCATCGTCGTCGATATTTACGATAATGGCCGCGGTCATTAAACGGTTCGCCAAACCGAAAAACTTCTTCGTGCACGCGGCGGTCCCAGACGCGCCTCAAGTTAAACTTTCCAAAATTGCCTAGTTCCAAGAAACTAGGTTTATTTTTTTTTTATCTTTATTTTTTATGTAGGGTGTTTCGAAATTCAATTTTCACAGCTTTTACTTTATAAATCTTCTTTCTTTCCGTTTCCAAAATAAACATATTTACATTTCAGGACATACATCAAGAGCTCATAACATAAAGCTATATGAATAAGTTAAATATAAAGTTTAAAACTGAAGCAAAAATCTGGGGCTGTGGATACTAACCTACGATTCACAAAACATCTCAATTGGCTCTGTCAATGCGACTATAAATTGCTTAGGAAACTCTATCCAAAGCGCTAAATAATTATTCTAATCGTAAATTAGCTCTGTGTGAGTTATTAATTATATCATATGCTGATTCAACTTATGATACAGCTGTAACGGCGAGGGAAGGAAGTTCAAAATTCTTATTTCAGATTTTCACACAACACAGCAAACAGGACTGACTGAAGCTTAAATCTTTCCCCCGACTTAACACGGCATTATTTCAGAGATCTTGTTCTTGAAAACAACAAATTACAAGGAGATATTTTAAACCACTTATCCTTAATTACAAATAAAGATTAAAAACATTTACTTTTGATAATAAGAACGATTTTTTTGTTATAGTGATATGGCTGTATAACGCCTACGAATATTTCTAGATAATTAAGATTGCAGTCTATGAGTGTTTGCTTTTTGTTTTCTTTGCATAAAAAATAGCTTAAAAGCACTCTTTGACACTTCGCCTAAATATAAATGTTTAGTTTTGCTTTAAAAACTTTTAATCTCATGTAATTGATTCAATTCTGTGTCCTAATTTTAATCAAAATGGGTTGTGATAAAATTGGATAGAAGTAACGGACTTTGACTGCCATTTTCATTTTAACTTTTTGGTTTCATTTCATGTAGTCATTGGCAGCATTTCGTATTTTTTAAGTATTTGTTTCATTTTGTTGTCGGACCCATGTTTATATATTAATTTATGTCCCTAAAATTTTGACTCTAAATTTTTGAAAATCGTTTATATTTTTCACAAGTTTATTCATGATACAAAAGCGCACGGAATACTGCAACTTAAAATTTTAAAGCTTTGCAGATATTTCACTTGTAGGGCATGCATATTTTTACTTTTCAATATCTTAAAAATGCAAAAATTGGATTTTAAATTAGTCCCTGTACCTGCTAGCGTTTGTGGCATTGCAGCACTTAAGAATTTAAACAATATTTTATATTTTCTATCCTGCATCTTCAAGAGTTCAATAATTTAATGTGTTCAACTAATACTCGGTTGTGACTGGACTAAATAAAATTAAAATTTCAAATTTATGTATATTTATATATATCTATATTTATATATATCTGGATAAATGAAAAAAAAAAGAATTTTAATTTTAATTTCACTCTAGTTTGTGTTACATATTGCATATTACGCACTTTTCGACAGGCTGTAATTTTCAAATAGTATATTATGCAACAAGTGCGATAAACGGCATTTGACTTACGAGTCTATTTGAGAGGAGCGGAGCGAGTGTTTAATAAACGAGTGATTTAAAAAGTTTACGGAACGTATTGCATACTATACATTTTCTACGACCGTTAGTTTTTGGGTATATTTTCGCAAAACAACACGAATACATTCCCTGACATGACCGTCAGAATTGACAAACATCAAAATTCAAACCTTGCAGTAAAATCTCGGAAAACATCCATGCGGAAAATCCCGGAAATGTCCGAAGTGGCTCGGATACGTACGAAACGAAACTGACGTGTAAAGTGACGCTTCCCGCACACCAGATCGGTGTGTAATTAGGAATTTTACAGACAGGAGTAGAAAAAATTATTTTTTGGTAGCTGCTGATAACTAAATAACTAATTTATAATACTTTCGTTATGCAGGGTATCTTATTTCCCACTCTTTTAAATTGGATAATTTTTAATATACATTAGCGAGGCCTGCTTATGAATAGCGAAACCAGATGTTTTTAAATAATTGATTGATTTAGTTTACCAAATATTATTTGCTGCACACACGTTTTCGTAGGCATTAGAGTTGGTAAAATTGACTATTTAATTTTCTTCACACGGTAAAATGCAGACTTTAACAAATCACCTAGCACACTTTAAAATTCGAACCACCCATTTCATGTTTATTTTGTGCGAACGAAGTCATTCATGTGGAACACGACACCGTCGCGTCGTCGTCATCTTTGTAGTCACGAACTTGGAAATAAGCAGATTTCACAGAGTTTAGAAACCTATTTCGATATGCCACGTTAACGTGTAGCTTTAAAACGAACCAGACAGTGCTGTGTACATATTTATTTTTTGCTACTAACGGATGATGAAGAAAAAAATTAATATAGTTTGTGAAAGAATAGCAAATAGGAATAAAACAATTAAAATGTGCGAAATTTGACTACCGCGTCATGTAAACGTAGGCAGCGACGAGCAACTCTGCATAGTATGTTGCGGGTTTGCCAAGGTCGATCTCAACATTCCATTCTTTCGGTTCGACCTCACCAAGGCTCGTTAATGTAGAGGCCTGCGCGGCCAATTACTGAACTTTTATGAACCGTTATTTCCGTCTGTCGATTATCATTAATAGTTGCTGATCAATGTACCCCAAAATGGGTTCAATAAGTTCACAATGGGTGTCAGCAAAAAAAAAGCACATTATATTCAATAAATATCAAGTTAACGTTCGAGGGGATTGCTGGTGGAACCATATTTTCGAATTTTAAACATGCCATACTTGAAACAAGAAAGAATGCAATGAAAGTGGTCACGCGACTGCTATAACATTTCTGAACTCAATCGTTGTCAAACTATGTTTTAAATATGTAAGTAGGTATTATTGACAACGAAAATTTTGCTAAACTAATTTAGCTTAAATTAAATCTACCAGATGTTATCAACTGAATGTTGCTAATGTTGCAATAATAATATCTTATTACTCTTAATAGGAAACTGGAATTACCAAAGTTACTAGAGCCTGAATTACTTTTTACAATATAATTAAAATTAAAGTCGAGATTAAGTACACATTTGTAAGCATGTAATCTACCTTCTTCTTAACATAAATTCCATATATATGCTGCGATTATATTGAATTTAATTTAAATTCAACTTATATGTTTCCTAATATCGCTATCAGTGAGGTAATTGCAAAAAGCCTTTTAGATTTTTCTTCTTTATCATTGACTGATGAATAAAATTTGCAAATCATTAGCGTACATTAATTTGCTTTCATTAGCAATTCATTCCCCTATAGTAATTGCAGACGACCGTAGAATCGTAGATATTTTCATTCCGCTTTTAAAAATTTGAAGCAGAAAATAATTTAGAGACAAATTTAAATATTAATCAGCAATTAATCTCCCCTTACGCCTTTCTGGCTAATGCGTTGGGAATTTAGATATTTTTCCTTTAATAATTCGTTTCAAGGTATATGTTTTTTATTACCTATATGTACGCAAAGAATAAAACCTACTACCTACCTTTCAAAGGTGTGGAGGAAAAAAATTTTTTTTTCGATTACTAAGATGTTTATTTGAATTGAAAGTACATACTTTTTATATTTAATACTGACTTTCTTTAACTTCCCAATTTCAGGACATATTGAGCAGAAATTCGGACGTTCAAAGCCAAACTCTCCTAGACTCGTTGAATTCGAAATACTATTACTACACAAGGACAAAGGGATTGTTCAGGACGTGCTTCCCTAAGGACAGACCAGCAACAGGTAATATTTGAATATTTCCTACCAGAGGCAGGTGCTAAGAATTATATTTAGTTGAATGTAGCAATGGCGAGGGGCTATCTGCTCAATACAGTCTCCACCATAATCATCACTAAATCATTAAATTGACACTGCCTTTGTGCAGAATGTTATGCTGAACTAGTGGTTTTTAGGATCGGACAAGAGCTTCCGCGCAAGAGTGTTGTTTAACTTTAATAAATGTTCCTAGCTGGTTTCTTAACTCGACGTACGTCCACTTCCTAGTGAAAATCTATTTGCGGATCAAATGGTAACCTAAATTTGACCATCTTGTGTGAGTCGTTTTACCTATTTATTCTTAACAAATACCATTGTTTGGTATAGGATAGGTTATTTGAATTGTTCTCACTTTCAAAGCATCATATAAACCATAGCTAAAGGATAAATCCAATTATTCCGCAAGTCACAGGAAAAGGTTCATTCTTATAGTAAAGCAGTCACATATTATCGGCTTTTCACCATATTTCCATTGACAAGGTCTTTGTCGATAGCTCATCGCCATGATCTCAAACTCAAACTCAAAACGATGACGAACCGTTTTATCGTCTTTTATTAGAATAATTTGAACTTCTCCAAAATGTACAGTGCGTCCCAAATTCTCCAAAATCTTTCCAATTCCAATTCCAATCTTGAGAACTATTAGATATGACATTTATAACTTACATATTATATTCGACTACTTTTATAACTCATATGTGGATATTTACACAATTTTTGAAGTTTCGATAGTCTTCGAGTTACTGACACAAATGAATTTTTTATAGATATTCTAAATAAATTCATTGATTTGCATAATACATTTTTTTAGTTATCAATTTTTTAGTGACGACTAGCAATTTTGGTTAGTTTTGGTTTTTTGATTTCGATAAAAAAAATTTGAAAATGTACACAAATAATTAGTAGATCATGTGAGCCGTAAAAAACTAGTTTTCGTTTCGTATTCAGATTTAGAATCTTTAATTAATTTTCAAAAATATTTCATCAATCTTGCACAATAGAATGTGAAGGGTAAATTATTATCTACTTTCTATGCTCCATTGATACAGATAAGAATCCAAGTTATGAATATCAATAAAGCAAAAGAGGTTTAACCCATATATCATATACTTTTTTCGGATATTTGTGAAATTTTCCGCGACGCAATCAATTGTGGGAACAAATTTTCTCGGTACCAAACAAAAGCAAAATGTAAACGTCAATAAATATTCTTAATGGCTTAGAAACGTGTCCATTAAGATATCAATCTGTACTGCCAAAGTGAAAACAAATAACGGTATTTAGCTTGGGAAATTTTCGCTAGCAAGTTTCCAAATTGCCGCATTGTTGTAAAAGGTGAGAAGTTATGCAAACTGCGGATACACTTCTCGTCGTTCAAATGAATATTTAAGAGCCGCTTATAAAATACCTAGCTGCACCAGAAATTCCAGTTCCAGTGTTTTTATATGTACAAGTTACTCGGTTTATAATGACACGGTAGAATGTTTATTAAGAATGAAAAGAAACCTTCTAAAACTTCCAATGGAATAATATGCAAATGAACATGAACAATGAACTTGTAGCTGCTACAAATCCCAAATCCTATATATAACTTTAGTGTAGGGACAAGAGCTTGCTACGTCATTAGCTTTTAACGATAAGTTACTAAAAGTTTACCTTCATTAGAATTACAATAACTTTGTTTCGTTACTCTGACAATAATTTTATTATTGTCTTGTGAATAAAAAAATTCCGTTTTGTAGAGGCAAGTGTATCCTTCTTTGATTGCTCTAAATTTTTCAAACAATTCATTTTGTTCGTTTCCCAAAATTAAGGTTTACCCAAATCTTCTAAATAAATTTCTAATACATAGCCTGGATTCTTGGCTTTTTCCTTCTCTTGGTATCGATTTGCATACTACTCTACCAACCAATAATGTATTTTTTGTCATTCGCCTATTATAAAACATAAGGTCATTTAGTGTATTCATTGAGACACTTTTATGAAATCATTGTTAAATTTGTCGAAATTTGTGGTAGTTGTTGTCCACTACCTTGCTTGCTAATTAATTACAACACCTGACTCATTATTTAAGTATTTTTGGAAAGCCGTGGACTTTATTTTAATATGAAGATATAATTAATAATATTACTGGAGTTTCATTAAAATAAATTAATTGCTGATATAACAAGCACTGGTACATTTGGTTGGCCAAAATCGTTTTCAGCCTTTTATTAAAATTAGCTTAGAAGTTAAAAGACATAACGTTTTTTCTTCACTTATTAGTAAAAACAAATATTTTATAATACCGATTTATTTCAATTGCAAACGCTTGCCTTGTGATCGTGCATTGAAGTCTCTCCGCTCGTGCAGCTGCTTCGATGTTGCCAAGCATCTACCTTGCTATTAATTGCCATTTTTCTATTTAACGCCCGAGCTGTGTTACTTGTGTTGATTATACGTGGCGTGTTCTACTTTACCATCGTCCATACCATTATGGTACTTTCATGAAATGGCCGTAGACACTAACTGATATTCATAGGCGAAGTTAATATAGTGTGCTACAAGACAAAATTTTTGTTGTTGTTTCAGTGAAATTGTACTTAAGCCCCTTGGAGACATACTGCAGCAATATTAACTACTACATCCCGGACGAGAATAACGAAACCAAAGATTTTACTGATGATGCGTGGACAAAATTACGTAAGTATTTTGCATTCGTTTATTAGATTGAGCAGCTATATCGGGGCTACATACCGGCAGTTATTTGAAGAATATCCAACAAAAAGTTAAAATTTTCTAATTTCCAATTCGAAAACATTTGGGCGGCAAAACCACTACCACTAAGTTACATTTTATCTCGTAATGTTTTGGATACTAATCTAGATGTCACTAAATATTCTTTCACCACAAAAACTTTCAGCGATGATACAGATATATTTACTAATAGAATGAACAAATTATTTTGGCAATATATTAGTTGGGGTTATTATTTGCGTAAGTAAATGTTTTTGTCCTACTCTCCATTCTATAATATCCAACTATGCAATGATGTGTGGGAAAAGTGCTACAGAGGCCAGCTTCGCTAAGAACTGAGTTGTTTCGGAAGTTTCTTCTACTTTAGTGTTGTTGATAAACTTTAGACAAATTTTTGTTAAACACTCACACGCTGTTCAGAGTTTGTTGCAAAACAAACTCTTAATTAAAGTGGCGTAAATTAAATTGTTGCATAGTAACTAATATAGTCCTATTGCTTAATCCCAATTTATAGCCATATAAAATAAATTAGCTGACGGTTTACTCTTAAAAAAAATAATTAAAGTTCTATTTACTTTTTCTTTCCGTGCTTTGAGATTTTATTTCTAGATATGGGAAGATCAATGATCGCGTTATACATCATATCGTTCTTTGCCGTATTCGCTGCGTTTTGCACAGGAGTCACGGGCTGCTGGAGACGATCACCCGGAAACATAACTGCAACGGCTATTCTGATGCTTCTGGCTTGTAAGTTCCTTATTGGTTTGATTAGTTCCCAATTAACATTCATAATAACGATATCCTATCAATAATTTCCTGGGGTGAATAACTTTTTTATTGTAATTGTGTATTGTTGTCATTATCGAAGTGTTACCACGTTACCATTTACGGAATAAATATAGCAAATCAAGGTTTTGCCAAACTATATTACGGTGATAAGAGCTGGTTTCTTCGTGTAGTGATTATGGACAGTCAGTATTATTGGTCTAGTAAGTGCCGAAAAAAATAAAAACGATCATCTGCCGATGAAGATATATCACACAACATGTCGATGAAAGACCAGAAGAAGACAAACAGGCTGGATAAATAATGGAGGCCCTAAAAATAGTCCAAAATGTGATCTGTACATTCAGGGGCAGAGGCCCATAGTAAGGTTTTAACTAGCGTTACAAAATTATTAAGAATAACAAGGACAACACGATGTTATTTAATAAAATAATAAATAATAAAAATATGCTGTTAAAGCAGGATGTGATTTTTAAGAACAGCACGATTTCGATGAAAAATAGACAGAAACAGAAATAAAATAAACAAAATAAGCTGTAGTAAATCTGTAGCTGTGCTTAGCTTTTATTTATATTAATTTTATATATATTAATTTAGAAAAATAGTGGATTTGGATTATCGATTAACTAAGACATTGAAGTTCGTGGTGATAGCGATACTTTTATTATAAGATGTTGGTGTATTTGTGGAGCGTCGTCAAAATAAGCGTTAAAAGGAAAAGTTGTTTGTTACTTCGTGACGAACATGTCCGAAAATATAACATGATTGGCTCGAATCATTTTGTCCTTGCACATGTAATACACATTGGATCACCAATAGAATAGGAAGATGTCTAATGACTTGTCGAGTAGTTTTTGAATACAATTGCAACAAACGTCTTCAGTGTTGGCAAGATGGGCCCAAAATGAATCTTATGATCGTCAATATATAATAGGATTTTTTTTTTTAATTTTTGTAATTATTTTTTGGAAATGCTGTTGTTTAGTTGATCAGTTTCGCGTCACTAGGAATGGTACCCCCCACACGTGAACTTGAAAATTAAACCTCAAAAATACGAAAAAACAGTCTAAGCATTCCGCAATCGCTTTAATTAACCGTGTCGATAAATTCGCCAACACTACAAAGCAACGTTAATAACGATCCGCTCACCGTTTATAATGAAAATAAATTGTTTTAAATTTGCCGGTTTTGACTTTTTCCGGTTTGCGCGTGCCGTTTCTTAACAATCACGGCTTTTCTAATTAACAGTTTGAACGTGGTTAAAGAGAACGTGCCTTTTTCGAATTTTGAAACTTTGCGCGATAACGATCCAGCGTGTTGCAAGCGTCGCTCTACGCGAGAGACGAGCACAGTTTTTTTTTTATTTGCCAGGATATTGTTTGATTGCAATCGCCTCTCTTACGGGCAAGTGACGTTTTAGAGTCTGCAAATTAAGTACCATAAGTAATTGTTCTCTGTTAATCTATCATCATTTCAGATGTGCTTTTTTTTACGGCGCGGGTGGCAACTCTGAATTTAGTTTATTTGCTCAAAAAATTTGTAAATATTGATTGGCAAATTTCAAAAAAAGCAGCGCCTAATTCTGTAAATTGTGTTTATAATATTTTTATATTGTATGGCATTATCATTTGTTCACAGCACAGTAGCAAGTCGGGGAAAAACAGGAAGATAACAGAGAAACATTTGAAAGTAATGAAATTCAGTCACATAACCTAAAAAAGCAACCGATGAATACTAGAAAGAATGAGAGGCAGCATTCATAAACTAAAATATCCGGAAATCTAGCAAACTGTTTTTTTATGTGTTCATTCTAGTTGTCATGTTAGTGGCAAGTTATCAGTAGTTGACATTAAACTTTATAAAATATAAGCACAAACTAAGTAATATAAAAACTTTGGTTTACTGGAAATTAGAGAGAAAACTCCACACTCTTGAAAAGATAAAATTGGACATCTAGAACTTTCATTATGACGAGCAGTTTTTGAAATCCAACAGGTCTTTATCGTTCGGCAACTGAACTCAAACCGAAACTCAAACAAAAATAACTCTTTTGTAAAAAAAAGATTCAAAACTTGTTGAAACTAGGAAGGTCATATTTCTAATTAGCACCTTGGCCGAATAGAAAGTTAAAAAAATTCTCTTGGAAAATTTAAGTTCACATTTCTATTACTGCTTAACTCACTCAGAAGTAATAAACAAATTACAAAAAAAACACATACAGCTTCGTTCCGTTCTGCGCTAATTAGAGACGGTTTTTAAAGTTGATCCGTATTATTTATTATTTATGTATTCCTTCTTCTCAATAACTCTAGCAAAGTGTATTCCATTTGAAAATAGGTGAAAATGTGCTGGAAACGGAATGATCAAGTGGATATGTAACAGGTCATAGCGCGCTATACTACTCACACAAAATTTAATATTGAGGTCTTGAGTATTTTTGAATGTGACCTCAATGGTCTGGAATTTTTGCAGACTACGTCTCTGTGTGTGTGTGTGTGTGTGTGTGTGTGTGTGTGTGTGTGTGTGTGTGTGCGTGCGTGCGTGCGTGCGTGCGTGTGTGTGTGTGTGTGTGTTCGCCTTGCTATACTTGTGACAACTTGTGTGTGAATATTCCTGTACTCTGACACCTCCTAAAATTGTGACGACTTACACGCGTTGCCACAATTTCAAATGGAGTTTTCTATGCCTCAAATTGGATTGGGTTGTTCTCTGGTTGATCAAACACCTTATCCTTGTTAGTAGCGACCTCTAACCCATCTATTTTTGACCTTATATTAGTGCTTTTACAGATTCCTGAGAATAAATAAAACTGTGTGAAGGAAGTCACAATTGAGTTATATTCACATTGTACACACATTAATAATTATAACAACCCCGCTTGGGACTAGAGAGTGGCGCCCTCTACGTTCGCGCACAATGTTGCCATTTAATTATACCATTCAGGGTCTAATAAAACGGATTTTAGTGTAAATGCCATGCGGGTGACTTATTTGGTGTTTGCCGCGCGATGCTTGTTACAGCTTGTGTGATTTAGTTATTAGTTCCTGGATAAGATAAGTAAGGTATGTATTTTACTCGTTTATAGATTTTATTATTATAGTTATTATTATTAACGCAATAATGTGAAAACAAATGTGAGGTTATATTATGTTGCGATTTTGAGTTTAGGGTCTAAAATTCTGTATTTTTTATACATTTTCGGGGTTCAAACCGGTGGATATCAATCAGATTTCGACTAAAACGCAATTAAAACAGATTCATGTTTAATTTAAATTTAAACACTTTCTCTAATTGGAATGGACTATTAATATGCTATAAAAACGGTTATTTTCCATTCCCATTTGTTTTTTTAAAGGTTTAGAGATATTTTCAAATAGAATTTCATACTTAGCTACGTGTATAGTAAGTAAGTATAGTAAGTCTTTATCCACCTATATTTTCGTGTAAATATTTTATTTTTAGCTTCATTAAAATGGAGACGCGCTCTAGAAGAATTTTAAACCTATTAAATATACCTACTTATGAAACCACAAAGGGCTTGGAAGATGATTTAAAAGAAAAAGGCATACGGCTAATGAACGGTATACAAAATTTTTCTCATTTTCGCATGTTTACAATTTACAGTGTCGAGGGTTTCCCGATTTGTTTAGCCTAGCAACTCTCCAATACTTTCGTAGTTACTATCAACTATCAATAATGATGTCCAGTTGATAACTTTTTGATAATTTTTTATGATATTGACTCTGAGACGAAACATCCGGTCTGAAATTGAATTGCATCATTTTGTAGAGGCAAAAAAGTGGCTGTAATAATGTAAAGTTTATTTTAAAATATCCTTTCAAATGGACTGAAAAACAAATGGAAACAAATTTTCAAAATTTCGTTTTTTTTTCATATTATGGAAAGTATTCGGAATTTGCCGCAATTTAATATTTTCGATATTTTAGAACAAAATTTTTTTGAGGAAAAAACTTTGTCCACCCACATGTCCACCCACAGTGACTTATCAGAAGATAAAACAAGCGGAAGTGAATATTTACCATCAGAAGATGATTCTGTTAAATCATGTAATCAATCTAACAAAACAGATTTTAAGAATGTCACTATACGCATCAAGTCCAAAACTCGTAAAACTGTTAAGCGTAACAGAGTAAACAAAAAGATAGTCCTCCAGAAAAATAATAATACCGCAGACTTCGATCAAAATGCAATACCAGATTCCACAACATCGCCAGGTGCAAATGATATAGCTTTGTCCCCTCCATCTAGTTTTGATAATTATTCTAACGAGGTTGGTAGTCAGCAAACGTCTTCAACTTCTCATGTAAGAAAACGAGCATCTGCTATTGGTGCTCATGCACCTAGAATTATTGCAGCGACTAAGGAAAATGGAAAACTGGTTCGCAATAAAGCGTACGCTTGCTATTTTTGTCAACGAATAGTCCAAAACGCGGCCAGACATTTTGAACTATTACATAACAAAGAAACCGATGTTGCTAAAATACTGGCGAAACCAAAACATTCAAAAGAGAGAAAAGATGGATTTAGAAACCTTATTAGAGTGGGCAATTTTTACCACAATACCGAAGTACTGGCTACGAACAGGGGCCATTTAATATTAGTTCGACGTCCAACTGAAAATGAATTAAAATTTTTGACCCCAGCAGACTATGGACCTTGCCCGTATTGTTTGGGGTTCATGTTAAAAAAACACTTATGGCATCACGTAAAAAACAGTTGTACTGCTAAATCTCAAAAGGACGATCAGGATAATGGTCGACATATTATTGCTGAGAGTCACGCCTTATTGAACGACGCATTCGGTAGAGAGTTCTCAACAGACTATGTTACAAACATAGTGTGCAAATTACGAAATGATGACATAGGAACATATTGCAATGAAGATGTATTAATTCAAAGGTTTGGTTCTATGTTGTTTGAAAAATATGGGACTACACAATGTGAACTAATAAGGCAATCTATGAGACAACTTGCACGCTTAACTTTAAAGTTAGGTGAAATTGACAATTCAAAAAGGCAATTGACCGATTTTCTTGTACCTCAAATGTTTGACCTAATAATTCAAGCAACAAAATCTCTATGTGTAACACATCAAAATGTCGCACTAAGACCTGAATTTGAGTTACCGTCACTAGCATTGAAAATTGGTTATGCATTGAAAAAATGTGCTGCAATAAAACGTGGTAGTTGCTTACGAGGTGGAAACTTATCTGGTAATGAAACATTGTTATGCTTTTTAAGTCTAATGGACTTGGAATGGAATACCAGAGTCTCATCAAGTGCGCTTGCTACTATGTATAATAGAAAAATGAATGCTGCTGAATTGTTGCCATTAACAAGTGATTTGATCAAACTTAGTAGTTATTTAAATGAGGAAATGACCAAAGAACAAATTTTTCTATCAAATTGTGCAACAATTAAGACGTGGAGTCGACTGGCTTCCCTAACTCTTAGTAAAATAATTCTTTTTAATAAAAGAAGATCAGGGGAATCCGCACGAATGACAATTGTTGCCTATTCTTCAAGACCTAATTGGTCCAGTCAGTCTACAGAGAAGCTAAAAAAATCTCTTACCGACTTTGAGAGAAAATTAGCCGACAAGCTTACATTAGTAGAAATTGTCGGTAAGCGGGGGAGAAAAGTACCTGTGCTTCTGACTGAGGATGTAAAATCTTCAGTGGATAAACTTATACACATCAGAGGTGATGTGAATATTTCAGTAAAAAATCCTTTTATTTTTGCACGAACGGGTGAATCTTTTCTAAGCTTGAGAGGTCATGACTGCCTTAGAAAAGCCTGCATTGATGCTGGTTTGGCAAGTCCAGATAATATAACAAGCACCAAACTGCGCAAATATACAGCTACAGTATGTCAAGTATTCAATTTATCGGAGACTGATTATGATTGGATTGCACGACATCTTGGACATGATATCAGGGTGCACCGTGAATTTTACAGGCTACATGAAAGTGCAATTGAGTTAACCAAAGTTAGCCGCATATTGTTAGCAGTTGAAAAAGGGCAAGTAAATAAATTCGCTGGAAAGTCATTGGATGAAATTAATTTAGACGGTAGGTTGGTATATTAATCAACACTTATGACATATGAAAACGTATATCTTTGCAGATATTCCAACTGAAACGTTACAAAGCGATGAAGAAGATGAAGACGCAATACCAACCCAGGCAAGCATAGAAGAAAATGAGGACCTGAATCAAAGCGGTAAGTGATGAAAAAATAGGTTCGGCTTTGTGGTGTAAAACTATTAAGTGTTAAATTACATGCAGAAGGTTCCAACGCAAGCAAATAAGCTGTTATAAAAAACGGTTTTACGGGATATACTTTTTCCGCTCTTACCCTCACTCCCCATTTGTTTGTAAAAAGGAAATTGCATATTATATTGTTGTCGTTTAGCTTTTCTTTCCCCTCACCCTTTTCAACAATTTTGCTCAGAAAAAAGTCGAACCATCCTATTATGAATTACTCTTCTTATATCAATTTCGAGGCAATAGATACCGCGGGGACAGGCATTATTTTTTCTACTAAAATTACTTCGTTATACGTTTCTATGTTTAGTCAGACAAATTAAGAGAGGAGATAAAAGGGAAATTGAAAATTATAGAAAATAAAAAAGGTAAATAGTAAATACATTTTTGACTTCTCCCTATCCCTCTCTTAACGGTGGAGCGCGAGGGGGGTAAAAGATGTTGCATTTAATTTTATGAATTCCTGGTTCTGGTACTATTTCTTTGATAACATCTGATATTGAATAATTATTTTTGAGATGGTACACCTTTTAAGACAATTTTTAATTTTATGTTACCGATACTACAGTTCCCCATCACCGTGAAGGTAATTACATACATATTTGTTTTCATAATATCCAGGTACGATTAAGAAAGCAAAGATCGTTTCAGAGTTTGTTAAATCGCCTGTCGTCCAGGTTGCACAGAGTAAGTGTATGAAAACTAAAGTTGATTAACCAATTTGTAAAGTTATATTATATACGAATAATGTATTACGATTTTCAGAAGAGGCAGTAGCTAAGTCAAAAAGCAGTGCCCGACGCCCTTGGTCTTCCGACGAAAAGCAGTTCGTTTTAAAATTCTTCATAAGTTCAATCAAACGAGGCACTGTTCCTGGAAAATCGGATTGTACGAAATGTATAGAAGAAAGTAATGGCATATTGGCTCTCAGGTCCTGGACTGACGTAAAATTTTGTGTCAAAAATCACTTGGATAAATTGAAAAAACAAAAGTCAAAGATGTTCTAATACTTATATTATGGTTTTTGATTTATGTTTCATTTTTCTAACATGTACTTTATATTGTAAAGTTGATCCGTACTTTTTTATTTTAATCTTGTAGGTACAGGGTTATTCATTACATTTTGACTCGTACCTACAGCCTTGATTAGAGTTAATAAAAAAAACTTTAAATACAATAGTTGTAGGGTTTGTTATGTTTCAGTGGTATCATCAACACAAAACCTTTGTATTTAGAAATTGTAAAAAAATTTGTATGACTTGACTAAAAGAGAATTTTTTACAATTTTTAAAAACAAATATTATCTTTTGATATCTCTAAAATATAATACATAGAAAACCCTACAAAGTTTATATTTGTCTTTCTTTCACTTGTAATTAATGCTGTAGGTATGGTTAAAATTATTAATAACCCTGTACAAAAAGCATGTTCTGGTAATTTTCGAAATTAAAATAAAGTTTTCGTTTGTGCTTTCCAAATTCCATTATGCAGTATACCCACGGCCCAAGATTTTTACTCCTTTTAAAAGATTTTGTTTTTCAAAAAATACGGTCTATGAAGAGAATCAATCTTTGACTTGTATATTTTGACTAATGACCAAACAAGTTAATTGCAATAGACTAATGAGTCTTGTGCTTCGACTTGGCAACACTGGGTTAACACATTTTTTGGAAACTCCATAATTGCCACGTTTTCAATTAACACACATCGAGTATCCTAATATTAATAACAACACGATAACACATTGCTTTTAACGTAAGTATTGTGACAACGTTGTCACAAGTGAAAACCAAATACAGATTACTTTCTATGGAAGGTATGTGTAAAAATCGAAGTTTGCATTTACTACCAAAAGATTGCGCATCTGGTAGCGCATGTTTAATTAAAAGTGCTTCAGTTGAGGGTTATTCATGTGTTGTCACAACTATATTGGGGCGGGTATGTGTGTGTGTGTGTGCGTGGGTGTGCGTGTGTGTGGGTGCGTGTGCGTGTGTGTGTGTGTGTGTGTGTGTGTGTGTGTGTGTGTGTTTCGGTGTGAAGCGCATTAAACCGGTAGTACATTGGATAATTAACGAATACAACTAAGTAATGCTCTAGTAGAAGTTCCGAAAATCAATGAAGATTAGTGAAATAACTTCGGGAAAGGTAAACAGATTTTGGAGTTTCGTACACGAATGTATACAACTGTATATTTATATTAAACAAACCGTTGCCTTTTCGCAATAACTGTTAGCGGTTCGAAAACTCAAGGTACGCAAAAGGACTGTAAGCTTGCTGGAATTTAATTATTACCTATGTACAACATTATGGCCGGAAGGATAATTCCACAGGTTGCGCAACACACAACGGCGATAACCGAAATGGGGTACTCACCGGTAGCTGCTGGTGTATTGCTTATGGGGCCCCAGGTCTGCAAAACTGAAGGAGTTAACCACTAACTTATCGAACTGTATAAATTTTAATGCTTTTACAAAACTTCTGGGTTCCTCCTGCGTCGGATTTTGCTGAGTCGTTGCTGCTGAAACTGTTTCAGTCAAACTCCCAAGAAGCCAACAGGATGATTGGCGAAACGTAGCAAGTTAGACTCATCAAAAACCGACGCAGGAGGAATCCAGAAGTTTTGTAAAAAGTATTACAGTAGCCCGTGGAAATTTCTTTGAAAAATTTTAATGTTCTTCGCAAAGGGTAGAGAAGCTAAGAGAGCTTCCGAAAATTTCGCCGATAGTACGTTCTACTCAAAATTTTCACGCAACCGCAGTATAGCACCCTGCACGTAGCATTACAGTTGTATGTTTTAAATATAGATAACAATAATTTTTTACTTTGTTGCGTGTACGCTAACAATAACTCTAAGAAAATAACGCGTCCCGTTTTGATGATGATGATATTTTTGTAGGGAAGCGAAAGATTTTGCGCGCATTCCCTAAATTTCACAGACTAAGTTGCAGTTTGCGCCATTTTCTCTCCAAACACTGATATCCACACATGTAACTCGTTTTAACCTCAACATTTACAACATCCGGGCACATATTGGGCAAATACATCCGCAAAAATGTCACATGCAAATTGAAAACTGTCGTATTGAGGGACAGTCGACGGCCATATTGGTTGAAAGCGACATTTAAAATGACAGGTCGTCTCATTGGTTGAAAACGAGAATTGACCGCGCATGCGCCCGTTGAATAGTTCTCGACATTGTTTTCTTGGTGCCTTCAAAAGTTCCTATTATCAGTATGGGACAAGGCCTCTATGGAGAATATTGCTGGACCTATATGGAATATTTACCAGGGTCAAGTGGCGATTGACACGTCCGTTTGGAGTAAAGACTTTCGTGGAGTCTTCAAAGATAACAGGTTCTGTGCTGGTTCGTCGACCCTTTCGGTACAAGTTACTGCAGTCGATTTTCTTAATAGTTATTCAAGCGATATCCCGGGAACGTGAAAGTAATAAATTAAACAAACTGTTTAATAACGTAATCCGCGCGGTTATCCGAAGACACAGTCCGTGGGTTTTCAATATCCGCTGATGATTATTTAATTGTTTAAATCGGTTAAAAAGTTTTTTTTTCTACGAAGCGTTACGACACCATCATTTTTTTCAAACCAGATACGCGACGACAGGACAAATAACTCGATGGAAGGAGTGTCGAGTGCCCGACAGATTTCCTCGAGTATAACCGACAGCTACCGCTTCCACAAAATTAATATTAATGTTATAAATCTTGCTTCCTTGTGTGAATGGCGGAATCGGAATTGCTAATTTATTGCGTAACTACGAATTATTTGTTTGGAAAACGCGATACGGGTTTTATTACAACAACATCCAGTACGTTCATTTGCTATAAACGTTTAGTGAAATAAATCTTAACATACTATAGGTAGAAACACCTAAAATACTGATGACAAGAGCAATCAAGTTAAGTTATTTAGATCATTAACGTTAATGTTTTTATGACTCTACGAGCAAGAATCTTTAACATTCGCAACACATACAGAGTTACTAGTCGGTAACTTGGATCAGTGACCCATTGGTAACTCTAGACACGGTATGCTGTTACCGATGATCTAAATCTTTTGTCATAAAACGTATTAATAATTATTTAATATATATTGGTGTTTTTCAAAAATTCTTCCGTAGATTCTTTGTTTGTTTTTTGCGCATAAACGATACACCCTGTATATAATTCAAACAGAGAACTCGAGGCTCTAGTCCTGGAACTCGCTCATTTCTCTCTTTCTTAATCACAACGGGTACTTTTGTTTGGCTAAATATAAATAAATTGAAAAAAAGATTTTTTTCTAATATACACTGGAGACAAAAATTTTTGTGCAAGTCAATGAATTGCATATGAACATCTATTAAAAGGGGTTGTAACTTCCAAAAATCGTGAAGATAAAAAAATAATATTAATTTTATTTTCAGGCCTTCTCAGTGCCGGAGCAATGGGTCTGTGGCACGGTGTCGAGTATTATGAGAAGGAAAGGCAAGTTGGTGAGGAGTACTATCAGCAGTGGAGCACTGTAAGTTAATCTGTAGTATATTACTCTCACACCGTGAATGTTTTGATAATTTAAATGACACTATTAAATCGCCAGATACTCCAAGACAACACGATTCTCTATTACGACTGGGGTTTCGCCCTAGCCTGGTTGGGAGTGTTTTCCTGTTTAGGGGGTTCCTTCCTCTTCTTCTTTGGTGCCTGCTGCCTCACCAATGAGAAGGACAAGGAGCAGCTGGACAATGTCCAGTATATTGTACCAGGTTAGCATCACGCTTTCATTCATTTTTTTGTTGTTGTAGGTTTTAAAAGACAAGACGCGTTTCTTCTACGATTGGAGCTACATGCTGGCTTGGGCAGGAGTGGGATGGTCATTGGTGGCCGCCATTTTGTTCAGTGGCGCCGCGGTTTGCCTGCGCGGCGAGCGGGAACGCGAGGAAGCTGTCAACATGCAGTATCTAATGCCTGGTAAAGCTGATGATGGCTTCTGATCGGTTTGGTGATGGGACTTGCTTGACCACCTTTAGAATTTCTCACACTCCTGCCCAAGCTTTGCGACCCATGCCAAATGTTCAATTTGGATAAGGTTTACTCCATGCACGTTACATACTCGAAAAAGCTACGAAGTTTGTTTACTGCGTCTTAAATACTTGTGATATAACATTCATTTACTTTATAACGAGCAACATAGTGGATTTCATTTAACTAAAATGTGGGAAATTAAATATTTGCTTTGCTGTCTCTTTTTCTTTATTGCGACGTTTCTTCTTTTTCATTAAATGGCTTTTATTATATTCTTGAGGGTTTGTTTTTTTAACTGTATATAATTGTATATTATCAAAGCTATCTACCGTTCTGTAGGGAACTTGAACATTTTTCTTTTTTAATACATTTGTTTATGTATAGCATGCACACCAATTATCAAAACTCAAAACCCAATATTTAAGTTGCAATAAATAATTCAAGTTGTGACACCCGGCTATTCCTTTTAAACGACACTAAACGCGTGGGGATGATCGTGACGTCATACCGCTGCTTTGTGATCGAAACGGCGAGATGTTATAGTGTTATTCTGACGTTATAGACCGAGAATTATATTAGTTACGTTTATTTTTGGCATGCGTAAAGTGTATTTCTATTTAATCTATTTTGTATTTGTGCTTAGTGTGCTTTAATAATAGCCGTCGTTTTCCCTATTGAACACCAATTATCATTTATTCAACTTTCTGCTATTCTTTTCTTTTTTTATTGTATTTGTAATGCTATAGTTTGTTGAGATACAACGCCTGTCTACAGACCCATAAAGTATATATTCCAGGTGTCCCACTAAGAATGACTCTCGATAGGTATTAGTATCAATATTATGGCGAAATAAAAAATGTATTTCCAAAGAAGTCATGAAAAATTTCTGGAAATTATTTTCAAGTCCCTAAAACGACCTCTAGACACTTTTATGACTAATCAGAAAATGTGATTTTAATAACATTTTGACACAGAAGCTGTGGCAGTCTTAGCAATATGATAATAATTTCCAGTAATTTGTCAGCGTGTTTTTTAATAATTTTCGTTCGACAGCTATGACATTACAGGAAACAACAGAGTCATTTTTAGTTGGACACTCGGTACAATCTAATTACACACCAAACGGCTATTAATATCCCTGTTACAAAAAATATTTTGTTACAGTTTACCCCCAAAAGCAACAATATGCTTATGCTGGATACCCTGTACCTCCTCAACCCTACTCAGGACCTTATTACACCACCGGATCTGCTTATGGACCATACAATTACTGAGGTTTTGAGAAAAATCCAAAACCCTTATTTGTTTTGAAGAAGTTTATAAATTTTTCGCGAAACAAATATGTTCGTAGGGCAGACTGTTTTTTTTTTTCTGTAAGGATGAGCGCAAAGTACATTTAACATGAACTGTATCGCGATGTGCTTAACATAAGTCAGTCACGTGCAAAATTTATTACCATATTTTGAGGTAATCATTTTATGTAATGTTTCAAATGTAACCATTTAGATCAATTCGTATCTTATTTATTGGCTTTAGTCTATAAAAACTATTTGTAAGTGTGTACATTTTATATATTAAGTTAATGTACAAAATGATCGTTAGCGTTGGTAGATAGACATGGAGGTATCAAAGCATTCTGCCATCTTACGAATACTTCTTAGCTTAGGATTTTTACAGAACACTAACAAATGAGCGTTAGGTTAGGGAGTATTAAACAAATTGTTGCTGTGATAAGCAATAGTGTTCAAGAATGTATTACAAAACATTCGGAATTTTGGGTCTGAAATGACAAAACCAGGTCCAACTATTTTATTCACCACCCGTAGTTGTTTCATGCCTAAAACTTTACTCAAACTAACGAAATTCAGTGGTCTGGTTATTAATTGTTGTAAGAACAATTCAATGTTTTATATGTACATCACTTTGATGAAGAGCAAAAATAGTTTTACATTACTACCAATCATTACGAAATATTTTTTATACCCTATATCTATCCTGATAAGATATATTTTAAATATTTATAATAGACCAAAAAGAATAAAATATATTAAATTAAGTGATTTTCATTTCTAAATCTAAAATCTACCACCAGGATTGCCGGCCATTTGAAAACAGTTTTTTAAAAGCGTTTTAATTTATGTAATTTTTTCATTGTCGGTATCAAATCTTCCTCTTTATTTTTCATTTTTTCGAAATTCGTAGCAAAATATTATTTAAAAATATTTTCATTACGAAAGATCCTACATTTTTGAACCAAAAAGTTGAGTAATAAAAAAATGAAAAAAAAAAAGTTTTAAGTTCCTATTATTTGGAGTAACTAGAAATATACACTGTCAAATAGCTAGTAATGAGTTATTCCCTTTTTTTTCAAGGTTATATTAAACAATATACCAATTTCAAAACAGCTTTATTCAGATTTTCCGACTATATTAAATATTAAATAAATTATAAAGATATCTACGCAGCTATGAAAAATATCACAAAAAAATATCAAAACAAGATATCAAATAAAAACCTTAAATTAGCAGTGTATTTCAACCCCCTCACAAGACTGGTATGAGTTTGAACGATATTTGACTAGAATTTGACGATTCTATTCACAATAATTAATACTGACTGTTATACTTTGACAATAGACCGAAAACTTGAAAAAATGAAATTTAAATCTGTTATTTACAGTATCATAGGATTAAAACTTTAGTTTCGCTTAATATATAATTAAATAAAGTAAGACAATGTTGCATAAAATATCTCAACAATTACATTATCGAATAAATTTACTTTATTGGAAATATACAAGTAATCCAGGAGAATTATTTAAGTTGATTTGTGATTTTAAGAATAAATATATGAATTGCAACACAAAGTTGCACAGGAATAAAGAGTTCTCCAACGATATACCGTTTTTACAACCTTTTATGGTTTTGACTTGGGACTTCGGACCACAGGGACCATTTTTTTCAGAACCTGTTCCACAACCCAGGGCCGTATTTAAGGTGTTAACCGACAAGAACTGTGCCGTGGGGACTGTTCTATTTTAAGAGTAGGATTTAAAAGTAAGAATGGATTTTCGCTGCATAGACTAATAATAATTGAGGACTCTCACTGATGAAACTCTACACAAACCCGTCAGCTTTCAGCATTTATATTCACGAAGTACCGAAGTACGGTTCAGGCACGTCATTGTGGAATTGCGACTCTATTTACTGAGGGTTACAAAGAGGAACCTAAGCGAGGTAGGCTTGCGGTTTGACCTTCATAAAACCTTACCAAACTTAAATACCATATTATGTCGTAAAAACTGCATATCGTTCGGAAAACTCTACTGTTTAGAACAGTTTGCACATATGTCTTACAAATACACACGAAATTTTCAGGAACACGATAGTATGTTAGTTCCAAAACTTAATATTTTTCACACACATACACATTGAGTATTAAAAAACCATGATTCGAGAACGTGGAAAAAGAATGTCGCATCAAACAAATCCATCATCTTAAGAATTGGTTATACCTTAATCATCCACTTCGTCGCAATTTTCTATTTTAACCTCCTTGCAGGGTTGAGCTTCAACCTCACTTTTAATATTTGCCAGGAATACGGCTTCATAACTTGGCGCTTCGTATTTTTCTTCCGGTTCCTGCTTAATTGAAACTTCTTGGCATTCATCACTGTAATTGCAATCTTTTGTAAATGCGTCACAATCATTTGGATCCTCTGAATCGCAGTTCGAATACTTGTGTTTACCGATAACCAAATGTTTCTCCAATGTTTTTTTGTGCTTAAAGCTTTTAGGGCATTGGGGACAAATGAACGGTTTCTCTAAAATTATTATATTAAAATTTGTAAAGGATCGACAAAACAAATTGTACCTTTGCTGTGCCTGTACTGGTGAGCCTTTAGGTACTCTTTTGTTTTAAATTTCGCGGAACAAGTGAAACACTGAAACTTATATTCGGTCAAATGCGAGTTTTTATGCACATAAAGCCGCCTATTGCTTTTAAAACTCTTGTTGCACTGCTCACACTGAAAAGGCCTATTGTCTGAATGGGTGAATACGTGATTTTTTAGTGTCGTTTTCGTGGCATACATCTTCCCGCACTGCGGGCACTGGTACTTGCGCTCTTTAGTATGAGTAACGCTATGAATTTCCAAATTGTACCTAAAAATTAACCGGAATCTGTCACAGACACTGAAGTTCACTGTTGGAAAGCTCACCTTGAAGAAAACACCCGGTCGCAAAAGCTACATTTAAACAACTTGGAATGGGTTTTCAAATGGTTATTTAATAATGGCTTGTTAATGAATAGTTTGTTACAAATGTTACACTCGTGTTTTTGCCCGTCCTGAGTGTGCTGCAACCTTACGTGCTCCTTTAAGTTCTTTAATTTATCATAGGTTTTGTTACATATGTCGCATTTCGTCGGTTTCTCTAAAATTAAACGGCTTGTTCTGAGATAACTTAAACATTGAACAGCCTAGATTAAGTTAGTGTAGTTAGTAGGGAAAACAGGCAGTTACCGGATGTACGCGGTAGGCGCTCCCAATATTAATAAATATAGAATTGGGTAACGAAAAAGCACACAGGATATGAATAAAACAGCTGCAAACATGAAAGATCGATTAACATGGCTTTAACATATTTATTTGTTAATAAGGAACAAATTGGAAAAAAAGTGATTTCTTATACAGTATTAATACAAAGTAGGGTACCAATATTAGCAATGTTAAGAAGATTTTTTTTTGTTTCTGTTCATACCTTTGCCTGAAAGTAATTTTTTAACAAATTATGGTCATCAACTTAACTAGTAAACTGCAGAAATGATCTACAAACATAAAGTACATAATTAACACTACACGTCTAGGTTTATGTGTTACCAATTTATTGGGGTGTTATAAATCAAAAATCAATTATTTCAACTGAAATTAGTTCCCAAAAAAACAGAAAAGATGAATTTTGGAAAACTGGAACTGATTTTTTAAATCTATATATCAGTTTGTGAAATAAACAAATAAATTGACTGGAACAATTTTTAATCTCCTCCATACTGTAAACCACATTCTATCGCCAAAAGGGATGAGGTGACAAGGGAGTGTCAATTAATAATTTTTAGGGCAGCTGAGTAAAAAGTTAATTTATATTGTTTGCCGGTAATTTAATCGGACTTGTCCTCTTTTAAATTTAAAAGAATCAATTTCGCGAACATTTACGTTACTCGATGTTATCTAATATATAGATGTAATATCAATTGGTGGGTTCATAAAAAATATTTAACTAAAAATTCATCAAGGCAGTGAAAAAAAACTGCAGAGGTTTATGAAATTACTTTTAATATGATTGTTCATGTTAGATTTGGTAAAATTCAGGAAAGATCAGAGAAAAAAAAGTTTAAATGCCAATCATAATTATGTTATATATAATAGGTAAATATCAATATCATATACATATAAATAATTTCTCTGAAAAAATGATAAAAATTTATTCGAAAACCAATTGAACCAATTCCAGAATTTCCTCTTTGATAATTGTTAAAAAATTTAATAAAACAATTTTTCTCATGGCTCACCCCCAATAAATTGACAAAAATCTTGCAACAAAACTAAATGAGGGGTCATCCACTGTTTGCATTATGCCACAAATCACCTGTATTAGTTGGTTATCATTGACTCAGTAGATTAGAATAATGAACTTAAAATCCTTTTCAACTCTACAATTAGCCAAAATTTGCTGTGAAATGACTCCAAAGTTAACACAAACATTTGAAAGACTTTGGAAAAGTCAAGGAATAAAAAAAACAAAAATGCAAAATGTGCATTGTAAAATTGATCTCTAGAAATTGTGTAACATTTATTTGACTTTGATTTCCTAACAAACATCAAAATTTTATATGAAATATTCACCAACAACAAGGTTATGAATGATTTTAGAAAGATAAAATTAAATATTATCTTTACATAGATTTTAGACAAACTAAAAAAAACGGAAAGGGCAAAAAAGAAATTTATATTTTCACGATGGTCAATCCTGTGTATGCCAAACTCTTTCTGATAAACTTGCAATGAGTGGATAACCTCTGGGGAATAAGTCTTCCAGCAAAGATACCAACCTTCAAAATGATCTAACTTCTTATGTTTTGTGTAAGCTCCTCTTTCATGGAACACTTTCTTACAAATTTCACACTCTACAGCTGTGTGAGATCTGCGTACATGCCTCTTTATTCTGTACATTGAAGGAAAAATCTTCCCACATATGTCACATGGAAATTTTAGTTCTTTGTGTGCCATAGATAAATGACATTCGAGTGATCGATCAGATTTAAAATTCTTTCCACATACACCACACTGAACTTCAGGTAACTTTTCACCATGCTCATCAGTGAGGTGTTCATGTAATTTAGAAACAGAATCGAAATCTTTTTTACAAATCTAAAATGTTTCCCTAGTACTATAACAATGTAATGTCTACATCAGTCACAATTACCTTGCAAACAAATTCTTTGACTTTTCTAATATGAATATCCATATGCCCTCTTAAACTTCTGGCAGTTTTGTATTGGTTGCCACATACATCACACTTAAACTTTCGATCTATTACGTGACATTTGACATGCAATTTAAGATGATCTTTGGATATGAAGTCTTTGTCGCATTGGTCACACTTATGAGGCCTCACCCCATTGTGAATATTCATGTGGTCATTTAGTTTTGTAAGACCTTGAAAAGTAATGTTACAAATCTTACACGTCCGTTTGTGTATAAAATGCTGTTTGCGATGCTCTCGGAAATCTGGATACTTTTTGAAAACATCACTGCACATCTGACAACGAAAGAGGGTTGTCTCATTCAAAAACAGACCCCTTTTACCCTCTTCCAATTCGAACTCTTGTGCAAAGGCTTCTTCCAAATCTTTGTTGGTTACTGCGTAATCTTCGTTTTCATAATTTATTTCATCTCCTTCAATAAACAAGTGATTATTAGGATCATCCTTGGTAGGCTGTTCTGTATGAAAGGAATTGGTATTTCCGGTTTCCAAAGGCAATTCACCAAAATTGTATTCTACCATTCTGAGAATTGGCTTTTTGTATCAACTCAAATCCAAAATTAAACTTATAACATTTATAAAAATATCGTCCAAATTATCCATAAACAAATTTTGTCACAGCTCCACGAAATTGCATTTTGGTTAGATGCATAACCAGAGATGAAAGAAGTATTGATTAAACAAGCAGGCATCAATGGGACAAATCAGAAGTACAGCTCTGACGTCACGCAGGTGTATCTCTAATTCTCTAAATTGCTATCAATTTAACGCCAGAATGCTGCCAACGAGCATTCTTGCTCAAAAAAGTAATATATGAATGCTTTGAGTCAATTTTAACCGCATTGGCTTAGGGTTTGTTAATGTAATAACCTTGAGGGGTTTTATGTTACCTGTTTCTCCATAATTAACAAGACATATTTCAGAGAATCGACTAATCAATTAACCACTTGTGTAAAAAAAACAGAATCAGTCACCTGGCGTTGACGCTTCGCGAAAGAAAACACACTTAGATAATTATATTTGCAGTAGATAAAGGTGGAAATTTGTTCGCAAATATCTAGTTTGATGTTAGGCCCCACACCAGTTTTTATGAATGTGCGTGGTCCGCGAGAACCAATGCAGTTATAGTATATGAAGTACAGCTAAATTCATTAAAAAATGGCAGAAATAAAAAGCAGAGAAAGAAAATTCAGTCACTTTAAAATATACTTTAGGGAATATAGCGACTATACCGGCATCCACGGATTGAAATTTATAGGTGAGAGACGCAGTTTATGTGAAAAGTAAGTATAGTATAGTATAAAACCCCTTTTTTACATCATATACTTAACATTCTTTGTTCCTTGGAAACCCGTTTTATTTAAAGAAATAAAATAGATATTAACTTACATTCTGAAAATAAATGAGCTTCAATGTGTAGAAAATTAACACTTGCCTTGAGCGACCGTTTTGGAAATCAAACATTCTCCAGAGATCGAAAAGCCGAAACTATTAAAAATCGTTATTTTTTTTCCTGGCGTTATTTGACAACGGTCATAAAATTTCTATTATCCGATCAATTTTTTAAAAAATACTATACAACACAAGTTAAATAAGTATGTTATTCTTGTACGCTTGTTGCACTAATAAGACTAAAATTTTTTTTTTAAATAATATGCATACACTAAAATTGAGTACCTATAGAGGACGACTTTCTAGCAGATTTTCACAAATAGAACTGTTGTATTTCACTAATGTGTGTTTGTTTTGGTACCTGCTTAACTGAGCTTTGAATTACTGAAAACTATCTAATATGGGCACCAGTTCTTTCTTTTATTAATTACGTTAGTTTACTACATATTTTGGAACACTTATTCGCCATATGTTGCTCTTTAACATAAACCAAATTAAGAAGATTTGTGAAACTTGATTTTAGTACAAATACTATAATTTTAAAACTAGTAAAGATATTAGCTTCAAAATTAGTGTACTTAAGTGTTTTCTATTATGAGAAATAATGAATTCTGTGTTTTATTATGATTACCCTCTAAGATTTAACTTCAAACTAAAAAAGAGTAACTCTGCCTACGTAAAAATCGAATTCTTAGTCAATATCGATATGTTATTCGTCCTTGAATATTGCGTTGTTATTGTTATTCTCCTCGTTTGTGAATATTTACCTTTTTTCATATTTATCAATATTTTTCACTTTTAAAACCTTTTCTATTTTCCTAAGACGGATGTAATAAAAAAACTCTTATTTTAATTGAAATTACTACAAAAATAGTTATTTGAAGAATCTGAAGTTCGAAAGATGCAAACTATTAAAGAAAATGTATTTAAATCACAGTAGGAACCCTTCGCGTATTATCAAATCAAATTAAGTGTAGTCGATTCTCATTACTGCTAACCGAACGCTTGCGCAAGTATTTTCGTGTTTCAGGATTATCTGGACAATAGTATTTTTTATGAGTCTGACTATATGCATCCTAATAGTATACGAGGTTTTCAAAAAATGGCACAAGAGTCCCGTAGTCGTCAATTTTGCGACCGAACAGGTCAATATTTTCGATATTACGTTCCCGGCGGTAACCATATGTCCGGAAACGAAAGTCTACAGTGACTATTTCAACTTCTCCTACAGTCTTATGAATGTCAACGAGACTACACCAGAACAGTAAAGCTTTTCACTAGGGGGCAGTAATTTGGCATTAACTGACTGACGGTTTTAGATTAAAAAAGTTGCAATATATGTCCCTGTTGTGCGATTCCAATGTTTTGTTGGACAGAATACCCAAAAACAATTTCACGGACGAAGATTTTTACACATTCTTAAAAACCGTAAGTGGATGAAACCGTTTTAGTGCAAATCAAACTTTTCTTTTGGTTAAAATGTCTCGTCCAGCTACCATTTTTTTAATACTTTAAAAAGTTTAGAAAAGTTATTGGGGTATTATTTCAAAAATACTTTAAATACAAACACATTTAACTGAATATATAAAAGAAATAAAAATTAAATTTTTGTTATCATCGAATCAATAGGAAAAGAACACCAATACAATTAATTTTATTATACTTATATCACACTTATCCGCGATCAGTATTAACTCGTACGATAAAGAAAAGAATACCCATTTCTACCCTCTAAAATTTGTCCCACAAAAAAAAAGTGTAAAACAAAAGTTTCGCGCTTTTATATGCCTTTTCCTTTCTATATTCTTGCTATTACAAATATTTTTGGTGTAGCGTCTCGGCGGTAGTCAACTGCTGTAACTTTAACGAGACGTTCTTTATACCGAGGTGTCAACACCACGGATAAAAAAGAAGTATATCTGCAATATATCGAACATTTTGATTACTTCTAATTTGAAATTACTTATATTTAAATTATAATGTTAATTAATTGTTAAAGGGAAATTGTAATTGCGCTCAAACTACACTTTACAGGGTGCCCCCAATTTTCTTCGCAAATGCAGTTGGATGGGAAGAGACATCCCTTGTGAACAAATATTCCAACCCTTGTATACTGATGAGGGTTTGTGTGTTACATTTAACATGCTGAGCAAAAGGGAAATGTTTACCGATAAAGCGTAAGTCGGAAGTCATCGTTCATTGATTACCTACCATTTAAGATACTTATTTCAAATAGATATTTTTTAGGGAAAACATCGACCCTCCTCCACAATCCTACATTGACAGATCGTCAGCGGGTTGGTCGGCAGATCATGGGTACCACGCTGGTGTCAGTAGCGATACTTACCCGAGAAGAGCATTGCTCTCCGGCTCAACCAATGCTCTAGAAGTGAGCTTCGCTTTGAACAATACCGACGTTGACTATGGATGTACCCATTTTCAAGGTTACAAGGTAAATATATAAAATTTTTTAGGTTACATGCATGCACTGGGCAATTTCATACTCCAGGTAGTTCTACACAACCCCATTAGATTTCCAACCATCAGCACCCACTACTTTAGGATACCCCTTAAGAAGTCCGTAATGGTAGCCATAACTCCATCTATGATACTAACTTCGGAAGATCTAAGGGACTACAACACAGAAAAAAGAAATTGCTATTTTCAGTCTGACACCAAACTCACGTATTTTTCAAACTATTCCCAAATAAATTGCCAAATGGAATGTGACATAAAAATGACGATAGACCGATGCCAATGTGTAGAGTATTACATGCCAAGTAAGTACAACCGTTATAGCATACTTTCTATAATTGTACAATTTTTGTTTTTCAGGAAACAAGAGCATGCCCATATGCGGAATCGGAAAAATGGAATGTCTACAGCAAGTCTCACGTAATATTGCTCTTCCATTAAATACCATAAAACTCAATTTTTTCAATTTGAACAAATTGTAGACATACGCTCATATATCTATCTACCTCAAGTTTATATTCACAATCACATGTATCGCAAAAAACACCACGCGGATCAAGGGCTCTGCCACTGTCCGCCCATGTGCAACAACATGGACTACAATGTGGAAATAACAGAAAGCGACTACGATTGGCCGAGAAAAATGAAAGCTATCGGGATTGATGTGGTTCAAGAGGACGAGGAGGGGTTGGTATATTATGCAACAAGTGTGGTAAACAACAAAGTTTACCAAACGTGTTGTTACTATATTTTTTCTACGATCGTTATTTTTGAGTACATTTTTGCAAAACACGAATATATTCACTGACGTATTCGTCAGAGTTGACAAACGTCAAAATTCAAGCGATAAAATATCCGAAAACATCCGGTTGCTCTCAAACCCGCTCGGTAATATCCAGGAAATGTCCGAAGTGGCTCGTGGGAAACGAAAGTGACACTTTCCGCATGCTAGATCGGTTGAACTGAGGTGGCTTTTACGTGGTGAAAATCCATTTTACAAAATAAATAAGAAATAGAAGTTCAGATTTTCACGAAATTATATATAATTACATGACAAATGTGTTGTCGAAACAATTGTCATGTGAATATATATAATTTCGAAAAAAATCTGAACTTTTAGTTGTTATTTATTTTGTTAGATCGGTGCATAATTAGGTATACAGGAGGCACTAGAAAATAGTATATTATGCAAATGCGGTAAACGGCATTTGACTCACGAGTTTATAAACTAGTGACTTAAAACTTACCGAACGTGTTGCATACTATACTTTTTCCACGACCGTTAGTTTCTGGGTACATTCTCCAAAAACAACAAATTCAAAGCGTGTTAAATATGTCCGAAAACATCCGATTGCTGCCAAACCCGTGTTGTAAAATCCCGGAAATGTCCGAAGTGGCTCGAATTCGTGGGAAACGAACCTGATTTGGTAAAGTGGCGCTTTCCGAACGTTAGATCGGTGTGTAATTAAGTATTTTACAGACGGGAGTAGAAAAATGGTATTTCACATTCGCACATAGGTTTATTTTTTGTCGGTGTTATTTTTAAAGTTCGTTTCAGAATTTTTATTTTTTAATTATTTGAAATAAATTTTAAGCAACACCAGGTGTGTTCAATATTTGCTCAAGTCCTTTTCATCGATTAAAAAATTAATGAAGTTTTCCATTTTTAAATCCACCTGGGAAATATTTACTCATTTTATAGTTAAAACTTTTTCCTAAGTTGTTTGTTCCTGTGTTGAAGTATTTCCTGACATCCATACTTCTTCCAAATGCGACAAGAAGAACTAGCCGGATTAGATTTGTTACCTACCTTATTTACGTAGCGTAAGCGTATTTTCAAATATTTATAATTTGGGAAATGGAATTTTCGATATTCAATTCCATATGCATGTTGATGATAATTTAGACATGAATTGACTACACTGGAAGGTTGGCTTTGATTTGGTACTTGGTAATTGAATTAGCTGCATCTTTTTTAGGACTGCCATATGTTACGGTGTGTTTTACCATAGACCAAGAAATTTTAGTGACACCTTCTATTTAATTTTACCATTTCCTTTATAAAAATGTATTTTCAAATAACACTTCGGAACACACTATGCAGTATATTCCGGGTAAACGGATTTATTAAAAATTTGTATTTTCTTGATGGCTGCAAAATACAGTTTCATTAAAGAAGTTTTTGATAATGCGTTATTGGCGAAAATTCGTTTTTGTTTACGTTCCATTATTTCTTTGAACGATTTAGGTAAGGAGTTGTTTAAACTAGTTATTTTCCTTTATAATTAGTTATATTCAAAGTTTCATTTGCGCCTCCAATCATTATCTATTATCCTCTTAATAAAGGTAATTCAAGTCCAAATAAGTAGTTTAATCTCTATTTGCTATTAAATATTTGCTTAAAAAATGCAGAAACTCACACAGCCTGGTTACTGCAGTTTTGCTTGTTGTCAGATATATGCAAATCTGACAACGCTGGTGTTAGCATTTTTGATTTCTATGTTTTCAAAAACCCACATTTATCTTTCCAGCTCTGGCAGTTTTGGAGATATTTAAGCGTGCGATACTTTTTACTAACCCGGTATGTTTTAAGTTTAAAATGTATGCCTATGGACAAAAATTATGAAAATCGACCGAAAATGAAAACACGACATCATTGGTGTTCTCCTTCTTTTTTCCCATTTATTTACGCTCCAAGCTTCATTTCTAAGTGTTCATAGAACATCCTTCCCTTTCAAGCTTTAATAAACATAATCTTCATGACGTTCAGCGCAAGTTCAAAACTATTTTCCACGTGTTAAGGTTTATTTTATTTCTGCGTTTTTGACAGTTCTATCAATTATTTTTCAAAATTTTCTTTTAATTTCTGAACCATTGCTTTCTAAACTAGGCAATTCCGCAACGATGTCAAGGTTGTTCGACTGATGTGTGCAATCTATTTTCAGATTGGCGACGTCTGAACTGCAGATTTATTTCAAACAAAACATGTTCATTCCCCAACAGAGGAGTGAAATGTATGGAACGTTCGAATTCCTTGCGAACGTCGGAGGTCTACTCGGATTGTTTGTGGGATTCTCTCTGATTTCTATGATCGAGTTAGTTTACTTTTTGTCCCTCAGGATAATTTGCAACTTGAATCTTTACAATAATTGGTATGGGAAACCTAAATCTCCTATAATGAACCTAGCCTGAACATTTTCTACAAAATCATGTTGGTACAAGAAAATGCAATTGAATAAAATATGTGGTAGTTTTAGGACATACGCGAATCTCAGGAAATTAAGAAGACAGTTGCACGAAAGAATTATTAATCTTTCACATTAAATATTTTTTCTAGGCACGCCCCAGTTATTGGTGGAAATTGTTCATGTAGTTAATTTATTTTGTATTTATTTAGTACTTGTAGCGAAATGTTCAAAATAAACTACAATAATTCATTATTATAATTTATTTGTTTTTAAAAAAAACGAGATTATTCAATGCCATTCCTGTACATTACAAATTCGTAAGACTAGTTCAGATAAAACATAACACCGAGCAACCAGTGTTACCAAAATGCGAGCACTTTGAAGAAACGTTAGGCAGATATGTAACAATTCATAAATTTTTATCGCTGTACAACAACAAATTAAATTCTAAAGAAAACTTAACGCCGTTTATTTTGGTAACACCAGATACAGGTGCACATGTACCGCATTTTAAGTGAGGTTAAAATATTATAGCGCGATAACAGTCTTTGGCAAATCAATAAATATTGCTTTTTTTTCTAAACGATTACATAAAAATAAGGCACCTAGCAGGTATTGAGTTGAGTAAAAAAAAAACTAGCTTAATAAATATCACAGATCAGAGTATGCGTTCCCACTTTGTCTGAGAACTTTATGGTTGAGCCCCAGAACACACGACTTACAGGTAACTGTCACACGTCTTTGACTAGCTATAATCGTCGGGCCGAATTATCAAGATATACTTTTCAACAAGGCTGTCAACCACAGTAGCAAGTGTAGCGAATAAACACTGACTTCATGACTACCGCTAGTGCTGATATGAGTATGGACTATCGTGGCTGATGTCAGCGAACTCAGACTCAATTCGCTGGCTACTCTGGGACTTTGCATGTTGATCAAGCTCGCAATTTTTTCAGCCTCCCTTACGCAAGCTTCCAGTTGCAACTGCGAAGGATACCTAATAAATAAATACGACACAAGTAATACCTTTTAATTGCGAACATATACGGTATGGTTGGGTACCTTTCTGTCGTTTGTACAATCACGAAAATGTCAGTCTCTACGGTAATAAAGCCCCTAACCGTGCACTGAGCCAGCTGAATTTGCCGCTCCAACCCCTTCAAAAGCGACTTGAGATTTACAGCTTCAGTACTTTGATTCTGCAGAGCGTACAGAGCCCTATCGATTTGTTTTCGGGAATACAATAGACGCAACGAACCGCCACATTGGGGACAACATGCACCAGGAGGTGTAATTCCTAAAACCGCCGATTGAAAATAATTATTACTAATATGATCAAAAAGATAAAACTAGCGTTCACAGAATGATAGACAGTTGCTACATTCGTGGTCACTCGCGCAACTACCTGCCTCCTTCCCTTCACCTATCTTGCTGGTGGTGAGAAGTGGATATTGACATAGTAGTTTATCGTTTTTTTGGTACTTTCAGAAGACTCAATAAAGCTCTCTCTCTATATTACATCGCTTATAATATATTTAACGTTATATTTTAAATATTAAAAGCAAATTGGATAGTCATTAGCCCGTTTAAAGTATAATAACAAATTAAGTAACAGTCAAATAAAAATGGTTTACTAGCCCTTGTGATTTTTTTATGGTAAAAAGAACATATTTGATCAGTGTGTGTTATTTAATGTGTAGCTTCAATCCTCTCCTTGGATGCAAGTCTCCATTTTCCGATCACAATAAACATGCTAAATTATCTATACAGAGGGTTCATTACACAAGACTTCAACAACATATCAACATTAACAACCTTATACTGAGTCCTAGTACTCAATGATCTGGTGTATGCTTGTATGCACCTTCGGTGGTGCACTTTGGGAGTCTCTTCAGCGGGTTGAAAAGTAATAATATACAAACTGAACAATCCTGAAAATTATAATGATGCCGAACTACTGGCTAGCTTGACCATAGTTCCCATTACAGCAAGCCATAAGAGAAAAAATTTCGTAATTTTCTATAATGTTCAGCACAAGAGAATTTCTTTATAAAATTTACACTCATGTTTCGTACAAAACGACCAGAGCAACTGGCAGTTGTCACCGCCCGATCTATCGTACTATGAATTTAATACTTTTTCTTCTACATCAACTAGAACGTGATAATGGTCACAACCAAATTAGCCTTTTTTCTCCATTAGCATGTTTTTGCTTCAGATTAGAGTTACTTAGCTAACATTGCCAGTCATTAATTCTTATTTTTGTTTTAGGTTGCTATTTGTTAAGTATTATTCTTATTATTTCTAGTTTTTAACTAGTTATTGATCTGCGGTTTATGTTGTTTTGTTATTTAGATTGTTTTAGTTTAAATTTGACCTGTTTTGTTATCCTACGGGGAATTGTAAGTTTGGGATTTTGTAATTGCGCTATGCCAGTAGATAAATAAATAAATGATGTATTTTGCATATGCGACCCAAATATAAACTCACCCGACAAACGAATCAATTTGCATACAGTTTAATGTGACTACTAATATTAAACTTAATTTGAATTTCCTATAATTTAGTTTCACCTACTGTTAATAAATGTTTTATTATTATTTTTTTATTATTTGTTTAAATATATTTTTGTTGTTATTTTATAGAGCAAAAAGTAAATCAAATCAATCAAATTTTGTCTACAATTAGTTTCAAAACATTGAAAGCCTAGTGCTCAATAGATTTACGGAGAGAGAAGCAACTTTATACATTATTCTATAAGCCGTGATAAAACAAACAAACCTAAGCAACGGGCATCAACTAAGGTGGGACACTTGACGTTCGGGCATTGTTTCGATTTCACTTCCGTGATAAGTCCGACGGCGATACAAGTTCCGTCATAGTCTACGGACACCAAATCCGCAAAGGCGGCGCATTCAGACCCGTACGACCTTCCATTAATGCCGCAGACCTGGAATAGTGTACTTTTATCGCTGCTCTTCGCATCACAGACCAACCAACCTGTCCTTTGTGCCTACATCGACTGAGACACGGGCCCCTGTAGGCCAACTTTCCGTTGCTATGAGCGAGCAAGCACGAATTCTCAAACTGTCGGTTTTCAATATCGCAGACTGGATCTTTGAAGAGCTGAGAACAGTTCTGAGAACCATTGACTGAAATCGCAGCTGTATAGTGCACGAAAGGATAATAAATTTCCCTAGCTACTTACTGCACTCATATTGCTTGCAAGGTTTGTGCATAAGGGACAAACAAGTCTGCTGATTGGGGACGCACTTTTGTCCGACTGGACAGGTCGTTGTTTTGCAAGGATTCTGACACGGAAGTAGTTCTATATCTGCGTCGTTCAATCCCGCACATCTAAAATACTTCTTCCGTCAACACCATAAATACTGCTGAGCAGAAAAACTTACTTAGCTAAGCAAGCCGATGGATAAGTGATTCCGTTTCGTCCGCACACTGGAACATAGTGAGGAGGACAGTTACACGGCAGCGTCGTGTAGGCAGTGTTTCTCCCACTCAAAGCGCTACTTTCGCACTGTTTCTTGCTGCAGATGAGTTCGCCCGCGTAGCAGCTGCAGCTGTTACAGTCTATGTTGAAGCTGGCGCCGTGAAGTTGCTGCGTGCTACCTAGCAGACATGACGTTAAACTCACACAAGGGAGCGGTTGGCACTGCTCGATTTTGTTTTTGTTGCACTTGCAGATTTTCAAACATCCCTTTGGGTTGTTGGGGATTGGAATCCGGACGTACGCCCCATCTGGCACCTAAACGGGGACACCACGTGGTTCGGTAGCTAAATAATTAACAAAATTTACCTACCATATACTGCGACACTTCTCCGAGCTTGCATCCAGGCTGACAGATGTAAGGCTTGCAGTTGATACCGTGTAGGCAGTTCTTGTTAATGAAACAAATTTCGTTCGGTTCGCACGGATTGCCCTTGCAGGGACTAGAAACTTGCCCTGATATCCTCGGATAAATTTCGGATGCGGGGTAAAGGTACTCGTTTAATTTGATGCAGGATACGTCGGGATCGTCCGGAGATAGGGTTTCGCAAATAGAATCGGCCGAATATATTGGAGATAGACGAGGCCAGTCGACACACTGCGAAAGGATTTGCAGACAGACGTCGCGGCATATTTGGTTGGCGTGGGAATGTCTGCAGAACGGATAAACGTTAGTTTTCGATTCACGATGAACTTTGACCGCGGTTACCTCGAACAAGGTTTGACCTGAAGGGTGCAGGCAACGGCCTTCCAAAAGCTGGCGCACTTAGGGATGTTTTTTAGCGGCAGCGTCAATATCGGGAGGGTGATATTGTTGTGATTCTGCCACATGGTAACGTCGTTTCGTGCTGCTTCGTCCGCTTGAGATGTGCACGACCTGAACAGCTCCGTGGGCCTGTTGTTGAAATTGGTGCAGAAACTCAAACCGTCGCAGCCCAACTCGCAAGGTTCATCGACCTCGTCTATACAATTTCTAAGTCCTTCTTCGTTCACCGACCTCAAGCATTTGTAATGGAAATCGTCCCAAGACGTCGCCCAAGATTTCGTAAAAGTCTTTGAACACAATCTCGCGCACTGGCTAGTGTTGGCTCTCGAACAACAGTGCCACTTGGCGCTGTCCATACCGACCCTTTCGATCCTTGAAGTTTCCACGGTAGCAGAGGACGGCTCGTCCACAGCGGGTTTAAGGAAACACTGCCAAAAATATTCCTGAAAGAACCCAAGAATAGCTTAGAATACGATCACTTTTATATATTGCAGCATAGTAGGCTCTTAAGTGTGAACACCACATAAGATTAGTTCTGATAAACAGTTACCAAAAGTAAAATGTAAGTTGCATTAAAATTGGCAGAAATTTAACAAAATTTTAACACAAGTAAAACAAAGCTGTAAAAAGTACATAAAATTGACATGACTCTACGACAAAAACTGCAGTAAGCCTACTATAGACGAGTTCAACCGGAATATTATGCAAAACTATGGGTGATGTGACAAACGTCCATATATATGGTTTGTTAAAAAGCGTATCAGACTAAAATAAAAAACTTCAAGATTCAAATAATAAAATCCGGCAAGACATAGGGGAAAAATTGAGATAAAAACTTACAAAGAAGAAATAAACAGTTTGAAATTTAGAGTGGAAAGCTTCGAAATTTAAAATAGTCTCCTAAAGGACAAGATTACCTTACAGGAAGAAGAAAAGTTCAAAAGAAAAATTTCAATAATATTTGGACTTGCTTAACAGTGAATTTTATTATGGTATTTTAATTATTATTACCCAAAAAAAATAACGAATTTCATTTTAGTTTTTTTTTCAAGGCAAGTATGGATAGTTATATTCGAAATTTTAAACTAAACTAAAAACGAGACAACATTAAAAATATTTCAATTTTAAATAAAAATTTTGTTAATTTCTGCGTGTTTTGGGTAGAATTACTATAGAATTTGATATACTAGTCCTTACAGAGACTTACAAACAGGCAGATTCAAATAAAACACAACTTTGCATTCTAATCTTGACTATCCTTACCAAGGTCGCTGAGAATGTTATTAATTGCAATGCCTATTGTATTTGTTTCTTTTTATAGAAATTGTTTTATATTTTAATTTAAGTTTCAACTTAGTTTTAAGTAAATTAAATGCATTTTCAGTGAAATGCCACAAACATTTTATTGATGGTATTTTATTATTGCCTGTTACTAAATAAAAGTTATTATAAATATTATTATATTATTACCTGTGGCAAGGGCAAGCCACAACCACCTAGTGTCAGTCCGTCAAAAATTTCTTGCATGATGTTTTTCGTCGATAAAACTTGTCGACAAGTCTCTCTACATTTGATGTTGTTTGATTTATCACAGCAGTGGATATCTGAAAGCAAACGTTGGAATGGACCTGGATTTTTATACAACATTGGCATACGTACGTTTATGAGAATTTTTAACTGGAGTAAGTTTGACTACATCCTTCACGCAATCGGTTACGTGTTCATTGCCGTTTTCGCATTCTTCTTTGAGTCTTTGGCGTTGAAACTTGTTAGGTGTCAGTTGACTACGGAATATATCCCTGCAAATAAGCTTCGAGTATTCTGAATATGGCTGCGCTATGAGTTTTACCAGCACGCGTTTTTACATTTGTCATTTTTAGAGTTGTTGCAGCAGTCTTCGCCGGTTTTCTGCCGCTCGAGACAGCTGAAAAAGGCTATTTCGTCACTCTGCCTGCAATTTCGAGTCAAATCTAACGGCGAAGTGGCAGTGACGCAAGCTCTCCTACAGGTTTCGCTGTGGGGCACAGAGCAACAAACTCTACCCGACCATGAATCGCCCCTGGACATATCTAACACAAAGCAATCCTTTAGCTACAGAGACATAGACAAAAAGGTGTTTTCTATTGTGGATCCTAAAATGAAAAAGGCTCGAAGTTCCATTTAAAATCAATTATTTGATGAATTACATTCGTTCGAAAAACCCCTCGGAATAATAGAGTTCTTAATATAGCTAAATTAGAAAGCCGTTATGGAAACAAAACTGGCAATCATCAAGTCTTAAAACCGCCATAAACAGAACTAAAAAGATGATAAAATTTGTGTATGTAAGTTTTTTTATAATTTATTTTCAAAGAACTATTTTTCCATATCAGGATTTCATTTATATCTTTTTTGTTTGCTAACTTTTCAAAAAATTTATAATTATCCCATGATTGATACTTGACCGTTAAAATTATTCCGCAATAAAACGACACAGTAATAAGAGTATATTTTTAATATTTCTTTTACTTTTAACTTTCTGTTATTTTAACTCTCCTATTTTGTCGAAATCAATTTATAAGGGGCTGGTTTTGAATTAATGTTTCTCATTTAAGATAGCGAGGTTGATCCAATCTCAATAGTTTGGGTAGGAGTTTTTAGAGTAAGGTCGTGGTCTCTATATCTGTATCTATCGTGCAATAGGGAGTACAAAATCATTTTTTTAAATAATATGCAAAGTTGTAGTTCTTGAGTTGAGTTGGAAATAATTTGCTGTTTTCCCATCGACTTTGTCTTAAAAATAGAGTAATATTTACATGTTCTGCATTTATTTTAGAAATTCAATTTCAGTAGGTGCTTTTCGTTGCTGACCTTTCCTCAAATGCTTTTCACAAACTGGTGACATTTTGCAGACTTGCGGGATTATTTTGCTGTACATGATAATATTTACGAACTTACGAAGCACTTATTATCATATTTTGAAATTCAATTTGACTCTGATTAAGGTGCTTGCTAGTACACCAGAAATTGTTCCTTATTAAAACACCACTTTTCCCCATTTATCTTTAATATATGTATACCAAAGTAATAACACTTAATAAATAATCAAAATGCGAAAGCGCAATTTTAATCGAAAAAGTTGTAGTAAATTACGCCTAATAATGGCGATCATAATTTACACGGCTGGAGCTGCCATCTTCTCAAGCTTGGCAAATTCAAACAAGGCAAAGTTTAACATCGTTTAATTGAAATCGAATTTTTACGGTAGTCTGAATATTAATTGGGAGGAAACAGGCAAAAGGCGATGAATATTATACCTTTATGTTTATAGACGTCCGATTAAAGTAAATATAGATTAGCCTCTGTCGATAAATTCCTGCATGCGTGCTAAGATGGTTCGCTCAGCTGGGCTCCATTAGCGTAGAGGATATCGCAACGTAAGGTAATGGTAATCGAGTAATTCGCATTTAGTTACGGTTATTAAAAGTAGCAGAGTTTTCTGATGCTGAGAGAAACAGAATATGCAAACTGATTCACATTTGAGATACGCATACGAATGAAAATGCATTTTTCATCCAGTTCTATCGGAATATCGAATTTTTCTTTCTCCATAGAGAAGAAAGTAGAAGCTAACCTGCAAAATACTCAAAAAATGCTTAGGCAAGGATGTGTTCGGTAGATTTTAGACACAGAAAGTATACAACATGTGGAGAAACATCTTTAAGGACTATAAACTAGTCCTCTTGCTCCGCTGTATTCACGGTTTCTAGTAGAGAACTGATTGATATTAGCAAAAATGCTCTTTCTGTCTAGTTTTTGGCATAAGTAGAATTGGATGGATGAATTGTAGTTTAATTTATATTCGAATTGTACTAAATATGAGATCTCCTCCTTTGCCATTTACGACATAAATAAAATGATAATGATATTTCCATAAGCATTTTACTCTCTCATAAGATTTATTAAAATTCACATATCGATAAGGCAAACCCCAAAAGTGATTAAATATGAACAATTTCCAAGAAACGTGGTGGCGAAATCTCTTTTTTCTTCGAAATATTTAAGATCTCTGGTGATGTTAAAAAATGATTACGTTTAAAAGATTCTAGATCTTCATGATAATTGTTGCCTAGAATTTGATCTCATAATTATTTTAAAAGTATAACAGATCGTATTTCAAAAACTAAACATTTGTTGATCACTGTTTTTACGATTTTTTTTTCGTTTAAAACGTATTGGCAACTGTCCTGCCACAATAAACTGACAGGTCCTGTGTATTTACTTAATTTATAGTTCACATTTATACAGTTGTACGCATCTTTTCTCCATTTCAAAAATTGTAACAGTTAATTAGGCACCAGCAATTTTTTTAGCAAAAGTTTCATTGAGAGCAAAATTAAATTAAATGTGCCATTTTTTTCGCTTATTACGTATAATTTCAAGTGATTCGATTCTGTGGGTTATTTATAAATATTTCTCGAGGCATCCTTACATTTGACGAAACCCCAAAATATGAATTACATTTTATAACAAATATTTTTCCTGTTGTCTGTTGGTGTTTATTTCAAGTTGTCCTTTTTTGCTTTTATAAATTGTCTTTTTAATATTAATCCAATTTTAAGACACTATGTAGTTTTATATTTTCTATTCCACTTCACGTAAGTATTTGGACGTTTTCTATCAACGAGCTAAAAACCCTGAGGGAAAGTTCCCTGTAATCAGAAATTAAATAAACCGAAACCTTCCAGCGTGGTTTATAGCCAAATTAACGGGCCCATCGCGGTACACAATCTTCACTCGTTCAGTAGATCCAGAAAAAACGACCAAAAGCGAGGATTTAATTGATACCGAACTTCTTCTATCTCTCGTTCGACTCTTCTTCGTTTTTCTACGCGGATTCTGTATTCTTGCGATTAACGCCGGCCGTTTGCGATAATGGAGGTGTTTAAATTTATGTTAGTCCGGCATGTTCCACTCTTTTTGCTCTCGGTTTATGTCGTACCGGTTTAAAGTAGATTAAAGATTGCGCGTAATTAAAAACTTTAAAGAGTTAATTAACAAGGACTTCGCCTGACTGATTAAAAGCTAAGTTATGGGCCTGTGCGGAGGAATAAAACATATTGTATGCGAAAGTTAAATCGATTGTAACCTGATCCTTTATAATATGTTTTTCTCTGTATATTTTATTTTCTTTTTATTGGAAAATTTTCTGAAAAAGGCAAACTGTTTGAAACACAAAAAAAAAACAAAACAACAAAAGTAAAAAATTTGAAAACTCAATGTTAAAAATCGTCCTCCTCCAGCAACCTCCCAAACCAATTTTTTCTATCACTTAGAATACCGTTAGTTCAAATGTATCACTTGTCTAATTTTTTTAAACCGTATATTAAAAACTTTTGAATGCAACACTAAAGTTCATCCTTATATAGCAAAAATGGTGGCGTAAGCAAAACAGGATTGTTGGCTTTTGGGTTTTCAATAAAGACTCATTTATGAAATATTTTTCTACATTTTCTTTAATTTTCCCTGCCACAAAACCCAAAAATCGTGTAGAACTATGTTTTATGCTTGCAAATCTATAATATTGAGTCCAAGTGTTGCTTTCTATTGTTTACTTTAATGTTGATAATATTATGAGGCATCTTATAATAATATATTTTTTTATTTTTTTTATCCTTGAGAATGATCAATGACTCCAAATTTAGGTACAAATCTAAAAAATTGTTGAATTCAAAAAATTATTTGCCACGATGTAGTAAAATAAAAGGTGAAGTAAAATGAGCCACAGTATTGGCCGATACTATCACATCCACCTGAGTAGTTGCATTCTAACACTTGCAGAAGATGTGGAAGAAAGAAAAAGTATTTTCATGGTATTTTAATAGTGTGTTTCTACTTTTTTATTAAAAAATTGGTTGTTGTTTGCATATTATAAAATTGTGCTTTAAAAATTTGTTACGTTGGTACTCAACTTATAAATATTCATGTAAATAAAAATAGAGACAACTTAACTCTAAACTTTGTTCTATTCAATCGCAACGAATTACGATTCTTCTCCAAATACGTCGGATTATTTGTCTCCCTGAACTTAATTCAAAAGGATGATAAGATAGAAAACCAAATCGAACGATCAGTCGTAGGACGCGCAACCAAGCCTCTTTTGAATCACAAATTTAAATTGTTCGTGAAATAATGCGTCTTTTGTTTATAAATTGATTTACGGGCAGCTAGTCTGTAGAATTTCAAATAACACAATTTATTCGACGAACCGAGGTCTAATGAAATGCCGCCAGGAACTTAATATTCTTACCTTTAAATGTTGCATTTAAACAGTCCCAAAAAGCAACCTGCAACAAAAATATCCTTATCAAAACCAAGTCACGTTTTCCTCTAAACTCTAAACCCCTACACGAAGAATCTATTAGAGTGTGTATCGATAGTTCCATATGTTTAACGTCTATCGCAGTCTTCTGATCTTTTATTGGACTTTAAAATCTGCCAGAACGGCCAACATGTAACCGTAAAAGGTCCCGCGGCAATAAATTTAACACTTGAGGCTTTTTTAGCTCAAACGAACCCTAAAAATAAGCCAGATTTAAGTGTCCACATGATGAGAACAATTTGCCAGATGTTAATGGCTGCAGTTTTTGACAAATTGGTTGTTTTCAGTCAATCGAGAGGTGTGGTGACGTACTCGGGTGTATGGTTTTGCACTATCATAGGGTCAATCTGGAGATCGAACCTTTCTTTTTATCGATCGATGGTAAATAAATATCACTTAGGCACATGTAAATACTTGACCCAATTCTCTCAAACAAACAGCAACAATTTAACACTTACTCAAGTTGTTATTCCACTGCTGCATTGATATCTTCATAACTTCGAAAACAAAAATTTTTGTTGATATATAAATGATTTGTTTGCTATCTTCTCCTTTTAGACGACCACACAAACGTACAAAAGAATATAAGTTTTCTAATAAATGCAAAGGACTCCGAAAACTAATTTTGAGTCTGAGCCCGGCGCTAAGATTTAGTACGGTAAATTAAATCACCTGGTAGCATTGCCGTCACTTAGTAATTTACAAAATAGAACAAATACTGCTCAAAATAGGCATATAATAGACAAAATTTTCAAAATTTTGATATAATTGCTTATACAGTGCGTTGCTTTTGAGATTTTAACATTCAGCACTTGTGTATATGCCCCTAATGGATTAAATAAAACATGCCAAAAAAAGTTTGCTTTTCTTATTTTACGCGATTAGAAAGTTCAAGAAAAAAATAAATCAATCTTTCAATATAAAGCGGTCATAATACTAGACCTGCACAGAGCCAAATATGTCTCCAAAACTTCGGTAAAGGAAATTTCTTAAAATTTTTAGGATATTGACGAAATTTTAACTATTTTTTCCAAGGAACACGCTGTATAGAACTACGTTATCGTATTTACTTATTGAATTTGTGCAACTATGTATCCCGAAATAATATTGGTCCTAGAGACTGAGGAAAAAAGCGATCATGAGGCAATGTTGATAATTATGTTATTGAAACTAGGTTTTTACAATTTGTCACACAGAAATTTGGTAAACTTTAATTACTATTAAAATTAAACGTACATATTTTTAACCTATTATTTTTTACATTTTGGACCTATTATTAATGTAAAAAACGGAGCACTAAATGACTTTCCAGGTGCTCTACTCTACCATATAAATTTCAGATATTTCTTGTTGCTGAGAACTATGCTTGTGCAATTGATTTGGCTCTCTCCTTTTAACTAACTAACATTAACCCAAAACAAAACTTACCAGTTGTTCGGAGCAATAATTTTGTACTTCCGTTACAGTTTCATTTCTTAATTCTACATTGGCAGACAGCTGCACCAACGATATCTGAAACAAAAACAAAAACAGCATAAATCAAGGGGACCACAAATGCGATCATCAAACAATCTGAATCAACAATTAAATAGATTTCCAGTCAACCCTTTAATTAAAACTCCATTTGAAATAATCAGAAGCAACACCCGTTTGACAAATTCGTGGTACGACTCGAAGCAAATAAGACGCTTAAAACAGTCAAAGGAGCCGACAGATCCACAAATTAACTTCAGGATAAACAAACTTCTTGAAAATTTATTTGCTTATTCTCGCTGTTGGTTGCTGCCCGTATGCACGCTGGGTGCACAGAAGATCAAAGGAGAGCCGAAAAGTGATGCTTCTACGATTTGGTTATTAAGACATAGGAAAAATAAAATGTGCTGTTGGACAGGTTACTCAAGCTTATATAGGAGTGGATATTTTTTGGGAGTAGTCTTTGAACAAAGCAAAATAATGAATCCAGAATCTAGAAAAAGATTTCAGAGGCGAACAGTATCTCCCTAACGAATTGTCAGAAAATTTGCTCAAAACATATAATTTAATATATACCCAAATACAACATGTTATTACAAAACAAAAACAAAATCTGTCAATCAAATATTGACAAATCTATTTACCCAAATTTCAGTTTATTATATTTAAAAATATTTAGAAAGCAGATTATTAAGTTGATCAAAAAACTAATTTTAAGTTGTGTTTATTATATGCGATTTGCTTGTCTAATCTGTTTAAATATTTAATTTGTAATTGTTTTCCACCCTTGAAATAAAAAGAAGCAAAGAGAAAGCACCAATCGAAGCTGTTCAGCAATGGATAATAACATACTTAATATACTACATTCTCTAAAAAGGCTATGTATGATACTATTTGAAAGGTAATAAAAAAAAATATTTAAATATTTAATTTGTAATTGTTTTCCACCGTTGAAATAAAAAGAACGCATATTTCTATCAGATTTGTTGTATCTGAGAAAGCACCATCTAAGCTATTAAGCTATGGATAGGCAATACTTATTAAAAAAACATATTTAAATATTTAATTTGTATTTATGATATTTGGAAAAACTCAAAATAGTTTGTATAAAACCAAACCAAATTATTAGAAAATGGATTTAGGCTTAACACTGATTAAGTATGTACAATAATTGTCATTTTCACTATATTGAGAATGGAATGACTAAAGAATTTTGAGATCGAGTCTAGTATTTACCTATGGCTAGCGTTTTAATAAATGCGTAACTTCCGCTCCAGCGTTATTCCTGGCCTCTCTAATTATAAGCGATTTGAGCACCAAGCTCGTCCACTTGTAGCAAGCGGAATATAAGTAGCCAAAGAATGAAAATGGAATACGAAGTTCGCATCACTTTTGGCGACCGTATTCCCTGGCTGTTCGCCAAAATATATTTAAAATGCCTGTCGCCTGTTTCTTTCGAATCGTCGCCTTACGAGTTCGATGAAAATTAGTTTCAGTGCAGCAGATAACAATTATAATAAAGTTCTTGAAACATGAGACGAAGTGGTTGATCACGGAACAGTCTAAACATGAAACCTTAAGTGAGCTACCCTACAAGGATTAAAGTGATTAATGGTCCGCACAACTAACTCTGACACGGAGAGAAGAAATTCATTCAATATTTTTCTCGAAGGTCGACAATGGAATTTTTATATAGTTTGTCCATATCCTACAGAATTTTTAAATACTTTTCTTAACACAAAAAACATTAAATACTATTGTTTCCTATAGTACTGAAAATACCTCTTCATCTGAAACTTACATAACATTCATTTTCATAAATTTTTTAGAAATTCCAATTTGTAGGGCTTGCTACTCGAAAACTAGGTGCCAAAAGACTTCAAAATTCCGTCAAATGTGCCCAATCAAATAAACATTTCTTTGATGTTCGCAATATATGTCTTAAAAATATATTTTTGTGTTCCTATTTTATGTTTCTTGGACAAATTCGCCTTAAGCATATCTACAGATTAAAGCAATTTTTCAATCCCAAAAAAAATATATTTCTCTGTAACACTTTAGTTCTTTCACTGTTTAATTACCTAGATGTAGTATACGGAGATTGTCTACCTGGGCAAACTACAAAATCAATTCAAAAATTATAAAACTCTTGTATGCTTTTTCAGTTCAACATACCTTACCGTAGTCTAATACTAATACACCCGTAAAGCGACTGCATTTCCGCGAAGTTGTTTTGTGTTTGGCATTCGTAAAGCACGACCAAGGATTCATATATTTGCCTTTCCACCGGAAAATTGTCCATAAAGCGGACACGCTACAACATAAATAATGACGGGAGAGCAATTGTAAAAGTACACACAAATCGTTAGCGTGAAACAAACTCTGTCTTTTATTAGCCATAGCCACATGTCCCGTGGCTTATTAATATTAATATTGTCGACCTGCCGTGGGTTCAGGACACATTAGAATGCGCGGCGTTTGTTTTTCATTGGCATCAATATGATTGTCTTGTAGTGTTTCGCTTCATGGTGTATAGTAAGGACTGCGTCTTGAATAAATAATAATCCGGCAATAGCGTTTTCTGGTCGCCCGGTTTCATTGTCGAGCTGACCGTTTGTGTCGAGGTTTATGGTTAATTACTTGCCACTGCCTTTCGTGTGGAAATCTACCGAAACATGTGCTTCTAAGAACATCAACATTGAGTTAGAAAGAAAATTCAACAATGATCGCGGCATATTCGACCCGAGGGAATATATTGTTTCAAATTTTTTCGACTTGTCGAGCGCCTTTGATACCTTTGATTACTACCTTGATATTAACCAAGTTATTTGATATGCTTGGAATAAGAGGCATGATTAATACATAGATAGACTTCTTTCTATATGAATAACGAAAAGCCGATTTCCAGGTTTATATGTCTTATTTATTGTGTGTGTCGGTCTATATGCTTAAATTAATAACTAATTAAAATTAAAAACCAAAAAAAGGCTGCTTAAACAAGTCCACGCTTAGTAGCACAAAATAGCACAAACATATATTTGAAAAAATATAAAAAAACATATTCTCTACAAAAAGCTACTCAATTCCAAAAGTATTCAATTCCAAAGTATAGTTGTAAACTTAAGAGAAGAGAAACAATCTTGTACTCCTCCACAAAGATCTAATGTAAAATGTTTTTTAAAGAAAAGGCATCAAGACGTCAATACATGTTTCGAGCAGTCACTGTTCATCTTGAGCAAAGTCCTAAAATAACATATCTGATGTGTAAAGGGAGTACCTAACTTAGTGATAAACCACAGTCTTAGCTTATTTCCCAAAAAAGAAGTTTACCCAGGTGCTACTTTTCCAATCTTTGATTTAATTGAAAGCGTCAAAGTTTTGAATATTCAAAAGAAAAACTTGGCCCTCTTTTTCGAACATTATTATA